GATTTTTTTGTCAGGCTCCTGCTGAAACCTTTTGAGACATCTAAGCTTGACAGTTTGTTTATTCTCCTGAGATCCTGCTACTCCAGCTTTCTATTCGTCCTCTCATACCCCCCTCAGTTTAGCTGCCTGGTCCTCGTAGGTCTGCCCTAGGTTGTCTGGGCTTTCAACTCAACATGGTTATTCACAGGGAGAAAAGCCAACAGCTGGAATAGGAGAAGCAGAAGTAAGCATGCAGCACGTCTTGTGTGTTTAAGGAGAAGAAAGGACAGCATCTGGCCTCTGTCAGGAAGAGTTCTCCTCTCCCAGCGTCCTTCAAGGAGCTGCAGAGCTGAGTGGAGGCAGACATCTTGACTGTCTGGTCCTATCTTCCTGCAGCTTCCTTCCTTCTTGCGTATCTCCTGTCTCGTAGTCACCCAGCTGTGTGTTACAGCATGCTAGACATGTTAATGTGATGTCTGCATATCCAGAGTCCTTCTTGGGGATGTTTTCCTTCATGAAAATGAAGATCGGATGTTAGGAACGTTGACATTTACTAGGCGGCTTTCATTGTCTTGTTCTTGCACTAACTGTCCTTTCACCATTAGGGTGGTGAAGAGAGAAAAGCCGGCTTAACACGTAGTCAGAAAGCGAAAGTAAAAAGTATAGAAACAAACCCACCAATAAGTACATAAATAGGCTAACTGTATGATAGCTTGTAAAAGGAGGCAGTCTGCAGCGTGACTCCTCTGTAAACTGCATGATAGCATTGGTGAAGCCTGCTGCAGACACTCAGCAGGCTTCCCAGGGTTGCTTTTGCTAGACTTTGAGTATCATAGTTGCAGAGACTTGTACCTGTTCTGAGAGACTCTTGTTTTTTTCGTAAGCTGTGGCCCTTTGCTTTCTGAATCGGTTCATAGTGATGGAGTTAATGGAGCTGTTCTTTATCGTAACCTAAAAGGTGTCAGTTGTTTGCTTGTATGTGTTCACAATCTGACCCGTAGCGTTATGCATCCCTGAAATGGTGTGATTTGAAGCACTTTTGGTGTGGCATGTACAGTTGCAGTGCCATCTGGTTTTGATTTTATCCCTAGCTATCACACATGTTCTCCCCATGTTTTAGACACTGAACCAAACAAACTTTAAAACTAGCACTTTAAGTACTAGTGGTCACTTTGCTTCTGACTATATTGAGCACTGCACTTTTGTAAGTACTATTAGCACTGAGTTTTGAACCACTTTTTTTCCCCAGTCTATTTAGTCTCTTACGCACGGTGTTAATTACTTAGGGGCCATCAGAAGATAATTTTGAGGTGTATGTGACCACTGTCTGGTGCCTAATTTCCACTGCATATCTCTTAGCAATTTTATAAATGAGAGAAATGAAACTGTCAAAGATTGTTTTTACCTAATAGACTGAACATCTGTATCATTGACATCCAGGCAGATGTGGTTGCTGTAAACTTTGAGGTCAATCAGAGAACCAAGCGCATGGTTGTTTTTAACACCAAAGATATAGGAGAAATCTCAAAAGGGATTGGGATAGTGCAAGATGGTATAATTTACACTTTGATTTACACAGACAGCAGGATGTGAAACAGAACGAGAGCTAAGAGTGTATGGCAGATACTCTCGGTTTTGGTAGGAGAACCCGATCTGCAGTAGCAGGTTGGGTCAGTGGGAAAGCTAACTTGAAACTGCTTGTAGATGCAGATATCAGTAACAACTGTGCTCAAGCCATTGCAATACAAGCCATCATTGTGCCTGTACTGAAAGTGCTGTTGGGATCGTTGTGGCTGGAACTGCAAAAAAAAAAAAAAAAAAAATTAAAGGATTTGCAAATGTTTTAGACGATGGAGCATATAACCACTGGGTTTGCTGTTGAGATTGGAGAGAAGCAATTGAGATTGGAGGAGCTTAGCAAGTCGTATGGCAAGAAGCCATGTCAATGTGCTTTCCTATCCTTGTTAGATTCCTGCAATATTTCAGCATGGCTGGTATGGGACCTGAGTTGCCAGGTCTCCAGCAAAAAATCAATGGGATAGAGTTTGTCCCAAATGGCAAAGTCGTAATTCTCTAGGATTTGGACCTGGGTGATGATCCTCAGGATGCACAATGTTCAGGTTTTGATATTCCAAATCATACCCTCTCAACACTCTGATGTCTTTTGATTCTATAAAAGCCATCGTGGGTTTACTGCAGCAACAAGTAAACCACGGTGCTTGCAAGGGTTCTGTGCATCCTTCCCAATGAGGTATCATGCATGAGGCCCACAAGGCAATCCTTCTATTGGAGCCTTTCCTTGGCAATGCTCCTGGATGGGATTTGCTCCTTGGTGACATGAGTGGGGGGAAAAATCCATCAGTGCAGTCAATTGCTTGAAGGAAGGGAGATGAGTTAGGTCTTCTACCTTCACTTTTAGCAAGCAGCTGTGGTGGAAATAACCTCCAGTGGAAAAAAAAAAAGGGGTAATTTTGCTTGTTTCAGCAGATGAAGTATTGACTTGATGAGCTGGTTTTGCTTTGGTTCAACCTAGGCTTTCTTCTCTGATAGAGCTTTATAGGTTTGGGTATTCATTCCGAATTGAAAGTGGTTAAAAAGCAACCCAAAGTGTTATGCTTTTATATTCTCCATAGTGTGATTTTAAAGTGGAAATGTACATAGATTCCAGACTTTTTCCTCTCCTCCTTGCCAAATTAACCCTGCAAATCTAGCTTTAAAGAACTAGCATCCAGTGGCTCAGGTGCTCTCTCAGGCGCTAGTTGATGAGAGGACAGCCTCTCAGAGAGGCTTATAGAGGGCCTTGGCCCCTTTGGCTGGCGCTGGGACACAATGGGATGCTTTTCAATACTTGAGCCCATATTCTGTCATCCTTTGGGGAGCTGAGTGCTTTCTTTCCTTCTGGGAAAAGGAAGCTGGTAAGGAAGAGGGACGCAGAACAGGTCTCTGTGTTTTTTTCCACAGGTGTAGTTTTTTGCCCCTCCGAGTTGGCATCTCGTCCTTCGGGAAGGTAAAGTTAAGCATATTCTGCTGCACGGCACACATAAGGCGTGAATGTAATGCATAGCACAGCACCTCTTTCTTGGGAAGAACCTTTTAAGCAGAAGATGGTTCTTTTAGGGGATTTCAGTTGCTTGGGTTTGAGGCAGCTCATGGGAAGTGCATTGAAATGGCACACGGACAATGTTTTACTGACCTATTCTTTCTCTCCAGCAGAGACATTTTTAATTTCTTTCCATAGTTTAGAGCTCTTTCCCAAAAGTATTTCCTGGCCCACGTGAATGACCTTGAAATGAGTCAAGTTTATCGAACAAATTGTGCATTGCAGGAAGCAGTCTCCAAATCCAAACACACCCATGCACCCATCAATGTGTATGTGCATGTATGTGTGTGCACATATACCTACAGACAGAGAATTTATTTTCCCCAGCTGTTTTTTTTTTGTGGTTTTATTATTATTGTTGTTGTTGTTATTATTATTATTATTATTTTGGGGGGTTTTGATTTGTTTTCAGGATATTAACCAAAAGTTGTTTTAAATTCATGGCATGAAGAACCCTAAATGTAAATCTGAGTACATTGTGATGCTAATTAACAGATTTTTCTGAAACTTATGTGATGCTCAGTATTTTTCTTAGGGAGTTTTGTTTAATGGTAGATCATTGTTCTGAAGGATGTTGGTCCTACTGGAATCACACTAATGGAAATAAAATGCATGTGTTACAAGTGTAGAAACGGTGAAGAATTAAGTGTGAACTTACTGTACAATACCGATTCTGTTTTCAAACGATCTGTTTCGCTGTTCAGTAGTTGACATATAAAAATGCAAATGTACTGTAATTTAGCACTTTTTCAATTGACCCTGTTCTCACTATGCCAGAAGTAAGGAGCACTTCTGGGGCTGTCAGGACCCGTCTCTCCTGACGTGCAGACCCTGTGAAGCATGTCAGGGAAGGGTCAAGCTCTTCATCCTTCCTGCACATTTTGGTACCAGAATTGGCCAGAAGGAAAGAAAAGTGTGAGAGTCTCTTAGTCCCCTAGTGTTAACAGGGTGCAAAGTGTTACATGTTCCGTACTGTACTGAAAGGGTTGGTTGGTCAGTGACTGTATTGTACTGTATGACGACGCATAAATTGCCTTGTATTGTTTCTAATGGACTGTACCATGTCCCCCATGGATCTCCATGACCCCAGTTTTTCAACAATGATGCATGTTATCAGTTAGGTCCTACAACTCTGTGGTGCTAACTCTTCCATACCAGATGGTGCTTCTGTGGACACTAACTGAGGACATGCTGACCAGAGCTTGAAGTTTCACAGTATTTCTCCTCTGTTTGTACGAAGTGAACACACACACACTAAATGATAAACTTGAATTTGTTTCAAAGCATCATTGACAATCTAATGTTTTCTATGTGTGCTTTTATTTGGGATGGCTTTTCCAGAAAGCAGCTCTCTCCCCCTACAGCCACCCCTGTGCTGCAGTAGGCAATCCTGTCCCCTTTCTCCATGGCGAGCCTGGAGCCAGGACTTAGTCTGACTCCTCTGCCTTTGGAGGTGAGCTGCTTCCCCAGCAGCTCTCTGCGTGCTTATCTGTGCCTAAAAAGGACACCTGTGACCACTCCATCCCCAGGTAGGTGGGCACTGTGGTGCTGCTCCAACTCCTCCACAACCAAAAGTGGAGTTTGTAGCAAGAATTGGCTTTTTACCAGAAGGGAGGGAACTACTGAAGAGGAGCTGGAGTTCCAGCAGGCACCTCTGTCCTGTGGGGGGAGAGCCCACATATGCAGCCCCACTGGCAGAGGAGTCACTGTTGGTTCTGGAGCTTTATGGGCTGTTGGATGGTGTGGACAGACCCTTCCCATCCCAAGCCCCCCACACGAGCTGCTTTCTGGACAAAACAAAATCTGAATATATTTTATATCTATTTGAAAACAAAGTCTGATATTTACCCCTGTTACCAACTGAATTTGCATATTGTTGTTTGCCACAATATTTGTTCTGTCTTAAAATAAATTTGCTTACTTGTGTAGTCTGAACTGTCTGGTCTGATTCTTGTTGCCTGATGCACGCTGCGGCTGTTTCAGGGCTCAGTCACTCAGAGCTGCCCTTACAGTGTCTCCCACGTAGGCGCTTCCTGTGAGTAAGACAGGGAAATGTGTCCGCCTGTGAGGGGCAATGATTTTAGCCAAGACCCAGAATATAAATCTGCCTCTCTTGGTTATCTCACATCTTCTCCCCAGGGCTTTTCAACCTTATGTCCTCTTCCACCAGTCTTTCATAATTACACCCTTCAAAATGGTAAGTGCACAACAGAAGAATCACTGCATTTCAGTACACTTAAGTACGGTTTAGAGATTAGATTGTTATTAATGTATTCAATGAGGTTAAGTAATTTCTGATGTCGGTGTTTTGCATTTGAGAAGGAAATGATTTATCATGATGATGTCACCGAAAACAGCAGCCAAAAGCTGTGGACATCTAATGATGTTCACAGGAGGAGGAGATGTAGCAAAATCTTTTTTTTTCTCCTCAGAAAGGTGGACAACACTATCTTGGTTTTTCAGTGCCACGCATTAACAAGGCATTTGCATTGGTTACTAGACATTGTACAAAGGAAGGCAGCACTCACAAGTGGTTGCAAACCTGTTTTCCCATGCATCTTCAGGTACAGAATCCAGTCTGTGAGTAGATGAATTTAAAGGAACAACAGTGCCTGTTCCTGCCCTCCAAAATGCCCCTTTATCTACCTGTGGCCTCAAATGGGAGGCAGCAAGTTCTGCTCAGTCCCTGTGAGTGCCAAGCATCTTCACACCACCCTAAATAAGATTTATTTGTTTTCTCAGATGATTTCTTGTGCCCCCTCTAGTACAACTCCCCAGTACTGCCTCTCCCACTGTTGTCAAAAGGGTACTGGGACTCAGCAGAGCCACTGCAGAAGAGGCGTGCAAGGCTGTGTCGGGTGCTAGGGGTACCAGGGAGTGCTCATGCCACATGGGGTGTGAATGTGAGGGGCCCCGCTGTGCAAAGGTAATGTGCAGGGAGGAGATATAGGAGTGCTGGGGTGAATACCACACCAGCAGGACCTTGAGGAAGAGTTGGGTGGACCCCTCCTAGGTGCATACCTCTTTCCAGCATGTCAGCATCAACCTCTGTATTGCACGGAGCCATCAGGTCCAGGTGGAAAACATCTTCACAAGATGTGTATCACACTGAAGTTAAACCGTCCCTCGTGTCATCACCAAGGACCAGGTGGAAGCATTAGAAATGCTTTATATATCTGATTGCTTAAGTCTATATTTATGAGACTGAGAAGTAAAATACCCTCAGGGCTCCTTTTGGGGAGATAGTATGGGAGTCCCAGTGGGTTTCAGCAGCACAGTGAGCAGTCCAGGGGCTCTTTGGCTGAGTTTTCCAAGCTGTTCACAGCTCACAAGAGGCATCTTTTGTCAGTACGGAAATGGCAGAAGCCCTTTAGGAGCAAATAAAAGATTGTATTTTTGTAAATATATTACTCCCTTTTACTTTGCTAAATGTATTTTTACTTGGAAAGCTCACTAAAGGTGCACAGTGTTCTAAACCCTCTGATTTCACCTGAGGGAAAGAGAAGTTCAGCAACTCTGGTTGTTTCAGCCCGTGGAAACTGAGGAAACTGTATTGTGTCTGTCGGCATCATTAACAGCGAGGAAAATGCTGAAACTCGTGCCCAAAAGACGCATTAGATCCAAGGAGTTCGGTGCGCTGCAGTACACAGAAATGCTCGTAGAGGCCGTGTTAGGTACATGAGGGCACGTGCACGCCAGTCCTGATGACGCCTGCCCCTAAGATGATGCAACGGAAGAACACCGTAACACACGGCGTGATTTAACGCGTACCAGAGCTAGCCGCCAGATAGGGCCGTCTTATGGCGTTACTCCACACGTCCAAGGAGCAGCACGTGCCGGGGAACTCCTCTGAAGAAGCGCACGCAGCGCTGCGCTACCCGCCGTGCCTCACGGCTCCGGTTCCGGAGGGCAGCCTCGCCTCTCCGCCAGGCCACTGCCGCTACGGCAGCGGGGCGACGCCTAACCGGGGGGCTCGGTGGGACTTCGCACCCCGCACGGGTGCCGCGCAGCTCCAGAGGCTGCAAGCCGCGTTTGCTTTCCGTTACTGACTCCGGTCTGCGAGGCGAAGCGTTTCGGCCACTCGGGCTGAAGCAGAGCGACCGCCCGCAACGAAGCAGTAGAGCCGAGGTACCCCGTGTCGCGGCGTCCTGCTATTCTGCGGCCCTGCTAGACGGCAGCGGCACCCCCGGGCCCCGTGCCGAGCCGCCCCTCAGGGGGGCGGCGACCGTTACGCCGCGGCGCGAAACCCCGCGCACGCGCGGTGGCGGACCGGAAGTGCGGGCGGGGGCGGAGGCAGGCGGAAGTGCGCAGGGCCGGGGGCCGCCATTCCGGGGAGCGCAGCAGGCCGCGCGCCCCCGCCGTTGCGCCGCCAGCCTCAGGCGGGCCCGGGCCTCGCGGGCGCCCAGTGCGGGGGGCCCGGCCCCGGCCGGCAGCGCCGCCATGGAGGAGAAGAGCTTCGCCAAGGAGCTGGATCAGTGGATCGAGCAGCTGAACGAGTGCCGGCAGCTGAGTGAAAGCCAGGTCCGCAGCCTCTGCGAGAAGGTGAGGCGGGGAGGGACGGCGCGGCGCGGGGAGGCTGGGCGCCGAAGATGGCCGTGCGGGGGCCCGGCGCCGCGGGCGGGAGGAGCTGGGCTCGTTTGTGCCTCGGCGCTGCCCGCATCGCGGCTCCGAGCGTCGGGAGGCGTCGGGTGCAGAACGGCCCCCAGCCGGGAGGGCGGACGTCGCCCCGCGGCCGTGGGGAATCCTCTGACGTGCGATGAGGGATGGAGGAGGGCGGAGAGGGGCGGCGGGTGGGCTGTGGCGCTGCCTGAAAGAGAGGCTTACGCTTTACTGAAGGGAGGCTGGGATAGGGGAAGCGGTTGGAGAAATGATATAGTTTGCCGTTCTCTATCGCTGTTGGATGGTAGCGTGCTCTTCAGCTGTGTTTAGTGCGGGCTGCAAAGACAGGAGACGGGTCTTGGTGGCTTTTGTCTGAAGTTAAATGCCTGTGTGCGAGCACACCCCTCCATACTGCAGTCTATGACTGAGGTAGGATTTCTTTGCATGTACGAGATGTGGCAAGGCCAAGGAGCTGAACTAGGCTTCTTCACGACGGAGCAGCTAAGATTGTTCTTGCTGTTCACTTTGTAGCTCAGTGACCGCAGGGACCATTGCCGTGCACCAGATCAGCTGGTAACTGCTCTGCTTCGTGTGCCTGACAGCTAGCTCACTGTTCCCTGAATTGTTTGCATTGCTGATAGTGGGCTTGGTTTTGTTGTTGTGTCGTTACCTGTGTCTTATTGAGTTCTTTCAGGAGCAAGTGGTCTGTTCTGGTGCCTGTTCCTGGCATTTTGGCCAGTGACTAAACACCTCAGTGACAGCTTTCAGAAGATGCAACTATTTCTTTTTCTCAAGTCTTCAGTAGGCCACCATAGCAATAGATTTGAACAGTAGAGAGGGTCTGCACCATCACCTCAAAATGTGCTAAGAGTGCCCTTCAGAAGGTAGGAGTTGTTTGAGTGCCACAGGCAGATACTCTTGAGGACTCCAAGCAGTGGCTGCCTGGCAAATGCTTTTACCCGTGGCCCTTCCTTCTGTCTGACTGCACACTGGCCTCTATTTTCTTTCTCCCATTCTGTTTCTTACCCATGCTGGGACTCTCCATTTGCTTTATGGCTTCTTTTGCACTCACAGAGCTGTGACAGGTGAGAGGAGGGCTGGTGCTGCAGCAGGGAGCAACAGAAGGGCCTTGAGATGTCGATGTCCTGAAGAGCAAGCGAGTTTCTTGTGGCTGTGCTGTCTTGTGTGAAGTCCAGTTGATGCACCTGAAAGAATTTATCTCCATTTCAAAACAACAAGAGTTCTGAACTTCCAACTACCAAGCTGTTAGAAAAAAAAATATTTCCTTCTTAATTAACAACAAAGCCAGAGAAGGAGCTGTAGCTGCTGTTTTCAAAAGCTGGACAGTACTGTCAGTAGATTGCATTGCAGTCAGTGGCTGCAAAGCAGGGAGAGGTGCCAAGTTGAGTGCACAGCTGCAGGTGAAGGGAATGTCAGGCCTCAAAAGTGACAAGTAGGATGTGAACCTGTGAGGCACAGCATGGTTTTTTTGGAGATGAATGTAAGCTATTGCAGCATCTAGTTTTCAGGTAATGTTGGCAAGTGATCTGCAGTTCTTTCAGAAAGCTCGGTTTGTTTCCCTGAGATAATACTTGAGAAACCGTTGACAACCTTCCTGGTCAAGTGCAATAGTAACTCTTGCTTCAGGTTTTAATTAGTAATAGTATTAGGTGGTTAAAATGGAAAAGAAAAAAAAAAAAACCCACAAAAAACATCTGGAAAGTTTTATATGAAATTGTGGGATACAAAAACAGAGTAAGTCCCAGACTGGCCTATGTGTACCATTCTTGGTTTCACTTGCTGGCCTTGTAGAAAGTAATGAGGGAAGGACTGGAGATAGCTTGGCTCATATGTGGTATAGAAATCATTCTTCTCTCAGAAAGCTTTTGAAATTTCCGCCTGTAGAATCACTGTAAATTGATCTGCCTGGTTATGACATAACTTTGTCAGCTAATCCATCTTATATTCTTTATAGAATTAATCAAGATGTCATCCAGTGATAGCAATAAAACACTTCCCATTCTGCTGGTCTTAAAATAAAACCTAAATTCCTGCTGATATTTAGAATATAACAGAAGAACAAACAATTATTGTCACTACTGGAGCTTCTAGGCAACATAAATGTTTCCAGCCTGTTAGGGAAATGGACATTAGACTTCTTGTATCTCATACTGCTTAACTTGATTATTATAGTCCATGTGAGTAGATGAAGGTTGTTAAAAACCTTCTTTCCACTCTCATTAAATAGGCAGTGAGAAAATCTATGTAGCTCAGCATTTGATGCTGTCTGCACTTAATCAGAGGTGCAGTGGCTTGTTCTGTATCCATGGTTGTGCTGGCTTTGAATTTGGGTACTCACAGGAGGGTAGCACTTTCTGGATGGAACTCCTTTTGATCCTGTGTGGGCACTGCTGCCCCTCAACCTGCACTTTGAGCAGCTAAAGCTGGGCTGAAAGACTAAGGAGGTGCACTTCATTTAATGGAAAGTGCTCTCAAGGTTGGACATGAAAAGCTTTAAATGCTTTTCAATTTGAGATTCAAGACAAGTGAACAAATGAATTCTGCTCATGAGGGAGTTGAAACCTTCGTTATAATAAAGACAGGTTTTCATTAATATAAGATATGGCATAAAGAAAATCAAGTTAAAGGCTGTTTCTTAAACACAAGCAAACAACCATCCATAACCATCTATTTCTTTGTAGCTTCTTTTTTAACATCCTCGGTCTCTATGTATCTAAAACAGGGAGTAGAGACTTGTTTCTGTGAGCAGCTGAAGAGCTTTGTGTTGCAAAGTGGTGGGAGGAGAAGGATTCTAACCACTAACGAATACTTGCATTTCTTGTCCAGTTGCTGAAAGGTAATTGTGCGCTGATTCTTCAAGCAGAGCAGAAGGAGCCAGTTGGTGCTTCAGGGAGTACTGCTGTTACTGGCATGTACCTGTGACAGCTCTGCTCTCTGAGATCATTTTGCCCTGTAATAATTTCAATAGAATGAGCTTGTAGGCTCTTCTGCTCTGATCGGTGAAATTAGTATGAGTGACGAAGCCAAATAGTATCCTGGATGCCATTCAAACCATGACACATTCTGAGAGTGTTATGCTGGGTCACAGTCAGCGGTATTTTATCTCTTCAGCGATGAAGTTTATCTTGCATGTACTGGCCTGGATGGCTCTAGGAGTGTGCATCCACATTAGCATCAGTGTTGCTTTTGGGGCTCTAGGGTGCCCTCTGCTGTTGAAGGGCAAGGCAGCTCCAGCTCCCCTCCCATTTGGGGAGAATCCAGCTGGCTCTTGTCAAACAGTGCTGCTGAGGCACCTCTGAGATCTTAAGATCCTCAGCCTGTTGATGCTGTAGTTTAATTAATTGCAACTGGCAGATTTAAATTGGAAACTCCATAGCTGGTTTCTCTGATTCTTGAACTAAGGGCCTCCAGCAGTCAAACTGAGGTCATGCTACAGTCAGTGAATCTTCCAGAAGAAGCTGTATTTCTGTGCTCTCAAAGGACCTTTCATTAATCGGGTGCCTAGGTCTCTATTATGTTCTAGGGAAAGCCTGACATTGAAAATCTAGATGCATCTTAATCCCCTCACTGATGGAGTCAGCCTACACAAGTCTTATAGCCAAATCCAAACGGTATGAGAGATGATATATGTTTGATCATTAAGCCTCTCACAGAGGTTTAGTCTCCTAGTGATCCTGACAGTAGTCTTGGGGCCTGTTTAAGATCTCCAGTTTCAGAGCAGTGTATTAAGAGGTTGCATTTAAGTCCTAAGACTGCTCAGTTTCTTCTTGTGACAACACAAGAAAGAACTGGGACATGTCCTCCAGCATTCATCCATGCAGATCAAGGGTTGAGATGGCAGGCAGCTTTGACTTCTGGTCTACTGGGAAAGAGAGGAGAGCTAATTTGATTGGCAGACTCACAGCCAACAAATAACTTACACTTCAGAATAATTTTGAAGGCAGACACTGTAAATATTATGCCTACTTAAGAGAAGGAGATTTTTTTACTGTAATCATGAAATGCTATAATGTGATGGAAAGTACAGCAATATCAGCAGAGTAGCACAATCCTAGGCTACAACAAATGAGAACAAGCCCAAATGCAGCAGCCATGGATACAAAAACAAGGGAAGAAAAACTGCTTACTTTTGGAAGGCTTCCAGTAGGTAAAGATCTCCAAACAGTTT